CTTCTTACTAAAACATAATGTTTGTTTTTTTAGAACCATAAATAGTCACATGATGCTCCTGAAAATAAGGACCTGAATGTCGGCGGGCTCTTTTTGTGCTTTTAGTGGAAGGAACATTTCAACTGCCATGCCGTTTTTGGGTATTCTTCACAAAATTAACTAGATGGTCAGCTGGCTTCCATCATGATAATATGTCATTGGGACTTTACGACGCACTTAACTGCTGAGGCTATATGGCGTCGCCTGCCTCTCACCCTGGCAGGAAGGGCGGGCACCGCGGGGAATCGAACGCCGTACCTCTGGTTTCCCAGACGCGCAGTAGTTAACGCAGACACGTTAACCACTACACTACCGGCACCCCTCCATCATGATAATCAAAGAAAGCATGTGGTATTACATATTTTTTTTCAATTTTGTTGTGCAGCTGGATAAACACTCTTTAAAACCAGCTGCAGTTTTTGAGCATAGTAGTTTATTTCTCCTTCAGTCTGCGGATGAGACTAAATCAAAAGCGCCTTGCCTTTCGGCTCCGCAGGACGGAAATATCGAAATATTCAAGGGAAACATCGCCGACAACGATGCGGCGTGTTATAAACCTAGCTCTTCCTGGTGTGTTGCGACTGCGAAACTTCGTATTTCCTATTCCGATACGGAAGTACGCTATGCAGTATTCTGCTTTAGATCCGTATATAATTGTAGTACTGGCGAATTCCAAGCTGCTGACACCAACCGAGAAAAGGTTTCTTCCGCGTAACGCAACAATGCGCCTCTAATTGAACGCGATATATTCCCGCCAACTATTTAATGCCTTTTAACATTAATCCACGTCCAATCGCTTCACACTGAACAGTATGCCCCGGCGCGCTGCAGATGGCTGTGTGCTGCTCCTACCACAGACCATAACCGTAGCACCGAGCAGCGAAGGTCACGTTCTCTTCCGCAGGTCAACCATGACGGTCCTCCCGTACACGGCCTGCGGCCACGAATTAACGAGTCAGGGGGTCCAGCAGCGATAATCGGTGATTGAGGTGTGACTGAATAATCCATCACCTATGCTTTATTGCGGTGAAATAACAGGAAGAACTCCTAAATTATATTAATAACCGTTCCAGAACTTACCAGGAGAGCAGCTTATTGACGACAGGACGGCCAAGTTGTGAAACAATTTACGAAGGTTGAGCCGTGCAGCTGTGAAGAGCACTACATATACGTATTGGATCTATCCTCGTTGATGGATGAGGCAATGTGAGCCATCACGACGTCCCATGTACCACGTGCCACGCACTCAAAAGCGGTCAAGATGGTATGCCCGTTATCAACAGCTTTTCACGCTTTATGTCTCAGCTCGGCAGCCAGAGCGGATGGCGGCGGAAACTCAGTTTCGGCTGTCTGCAAATCTTGTGGCTAACACGAGGTTTTGCAATGCACGATTGCGCCAGTAATCATTGCGTAAGCCGGATAGGCCAGCATATCCAAAACGGTACCGAATACCATACACTGCCGCATGTCTCCTTGCCATCAGCAAAGAATAGGCCAAGAGCACTGGTCTATTGGCCGTGCAGAATAATTTCAAAAGAAATAATAAAAATGGCAACAGTCACGTACCTGCTCCAAAGACGTGCGAGACGGTTAGCGCGCTAGACTCTGGACTCTTGTCAGGGTGGTGGACTTCAGACTCCGGCCGGAACCACTCGAGCGTGTCTGTGTCGATTGATTGGTCGTCGCGTACTGCATCCTATGCACCAGACTCTAAGCATTACAATTCCGCATTTCTTACCCCAGGATGGCCAGCGACGACAGCAATGATAAATTTCATTGAGTTATTCTCCCTGGTGTGATGTCCTTGGCGTAGTATCTGTTACTAAACGTTACTATGAAGGAATGTACGAAAGCCATGCCGCGCTGGACGCACGGAAAGTTTATCAGCCACTAGGCACAGATCCAATGTGTTGGAATGTAAAGCAAAAGTGTAACTGGAATTGTGAAACGAATATGCACGAATGAAAAAGCATGTTAAATATATCAAATACCTACAATTGACTGTCATGCAAGTACTACCGACTACCAAACCAACACAAGATCAACAGATATGGGTGTATTTCACATTAAGATTCACCACAAATGTCAAACAAATTCAACTGAGGGGGCATCCTACTTTCTGTTCTTGTCGTACAAAGATCAAACGCGTCCGATTTGGTTGTGATACCAGTTTCCTGGAAAGGATTCTCTGTAGCTCGGAACTTCAAGTTGAGGTAGGCGCTCCGAGTGGTGAAATGCCATTTGACTCCCTGCTCACCAGTGCAGAATGATATTTTCCATTGACAAGTATGAGGCTTTCATCACACGGATTGAACAAAACGTCACATTAGCGATTTAATTTCTCCCCTATGACGTTTAACGCACTGACTCATTTTGCAGTGCGCTTAGGGTTCGAGAAACATTGCTTGCGTGCTCAGTTTGTCGCAATGTCATGCTTACAAAGCAGAAACGTACCAGCGACACATAACGTGGTCCAATGACACATATATTCGAATTTCTACTAATGCGCTTATTGTTAAATCACTTACGCCACCCACGGTACCAACCACAAAGGTTCATTTATACTGACGACATTCGTGCCCATAATGATGGATTTAATTCCGACCAACGCACT